CCGCGCGTCCAAAATCTCAAGGAACACCAGGGGGGCTCGCCGCCCAATTGGTAGCGGAACGCATGCAAACCTAAGGAACGACCGAACCCCTTTTGAAAAGTGTTCCTCATTCAAGCCGGACCGTGTACAGCCGGACCTAGGACAGAAGGTAATCCTTCAAGAACACGGGACCCTCCGCCGGCTCACACGGAAGACCCTTGGAGGGCACGCTCCCCCAGAGGATGCACAAGAACACCCGACCAACAGGAAGAACACTAGGCTACCCTCCCCGAACCGACCTCGATCTTATACCTCGGTCCGACTGTATCAGTTTTGAGGCCACGGCATGGGTGATGGGCCCAATTTCCATCACCACTCCCAGATGTAGGAGAGGGAGGAGGAGGGGGAGGAGGAGGGGGAGGAGGAGGAGGAGGAGGAGGAGGAGGAGGACGATGAGGAGGTGGAGGAGGAGGAGGAGGAGGAGGAGGAGGAGGAGGAGGAGGGGGGAGGAGGAGGAGGAGGAGGAGGAGGAGGAGGAGGAGGAGAGAGGAGGGGAGGAGGGAGGAGGAGGAGGAGGAGGAGGAGGAGGAGGCGCGCCAACTCGACGAATCCGAGCGAGAAGGAGAAGGAGGAGGACCTCCCCATCCTCCCTTCTCCCCCACCCTGCCTGTGGTAGTGACGTTGGAAAACTTGCTCATCAATGAGGCCCCTTTGGGGGCACCTTGGATGCACGTTCCTTCGCCCCCACCCAGTATGCAGCGCCCGAGAAGCGAAGCGAAGAGAAAACGCCGGAATCTTGTGCGCACTGCTCTGGGGAGCCCGCTCGGGCCCGTCCATGGCAGGGCGCGGATGCCGTGGCCCCCAGAGGCTGTGATGCCGTCGGGACCGACTGGAGAGGTAGGGGGCCACATGCGAACCCTACCCCTGCCCCACATGATTTCTGAGGGGGAGGGAGGGGGAGGGCGAGCGAAGTGAACCCCACCCTCCCCCTCAGAAATCGTGTGGGGTAGGGGTAGGGTTCGCATGTGGCCCCCGAAGAGGACACGCGAGGGGACACGAGACCCCTCCGAGGGCCACCTCGCCACAGGAATGCAGCAGGCACGGGCCGCGAAGCACGGGACGCAGCGGCACCCTCGACGTGGCAGGGCCGACCTGCCAGCCCGCCTGGACTATACAGCAGCAGCCTCCCTCGAGTCGTGGCGACCACAGCGCCGGCTCTTCTGACGCCGCGTGGGCCGCTCGACCTCGAGCGAGCGGCGGTTTCTCGATCGCCAGATCTCTGGAGGCCTGGGAGCTGGCACCAACACCAGCCCAGGGGGGTGCCTCCACAATTTTGTTGGTCTGCGGGTCGAGAGCGAGCCTCTTCCGGTTCAGAGCCAGGCGGGCCGCGCAAAGCGCTAACTGGGGAGACAGAGCACAGGCGGGCGGGGCCTCAGGCGGCCGGATGGGGGGGTGTTTCCACAGGGGGAAGATGATCCCAGATCTCGGTGCTGGTGGCAGCATTTCGGCCACCTTGGAGGCCAGAAGATCACCTCCAGCACCGAGATCGGAGGTCGTCTTCCCTCGGTGGAGGCACGCCGCCGACCTTGGTATTGGTGTCCACCTCTAGGCCTTCGAGATCGTTCCATATTTGAAGGGGCTCTGGGACACACACACACATAAATACACACAGATAAGTATCCCGGCAAAGCAACCTAACAGCGATGTGTAGGAGCAAATCTGGAAGCATTTCCCTTAAGATTCAGATGAGAACCCAGTTGTAGAACTCTGCTGTTCTCGCAGTCGTAGTCGCATTCGCGATGACAGTCGCAGTGGCAACGGCAGTCGCAGTCACAGCCTCAGCCTCAGCCTGCCTCAGCCTCAGCCTCAGCCTGCTTCAGCCTCAGCCTGCCTAAGCCTCAGCCCTCAGCCTCAGCCTGCCTCAGCCTCAGCCTCAGCCTGCTTCAGCCTCAGCCTGCCTTCAAGCCTCACCTGCCTCAGCCTCAGCTTCAGCCTCAGAGCCTCAGCCTGCCTCAGCTCAGCCTCAGCCTGCCTCAGCCTGCCTGCTCAGCCTCAGCCTCAGCCTGCCTCAGCCTCAGCCTGCCTCAGCCTCAGCCTCAGCCTGCCTCAGCCTCAGCCTCAGCCTGCTTCAGCCTCAGCCTCAGTCTGCCTTCAGCCTCGGCCTCAGCCTCAGCCTGCCTCAGCCTCAGCCTGCATCAGCCTCAGCCTCAGCCTCAGCCTGCCTCAGCTCAGCCTGCCTCAGCCTCAGCCTCAGCCTGCCTCAGCCTCAGCCTCAGCCTGCTTCAGCCTCAGCCTCAGTCTGCCTTCAGCCTCGGCCTCAGCCTCAGGCTGCCTCAGCCTCAGCCTGCATCAGCCTCAGCCTCAGCCTCAGCCTGCCTCAGCATCAGCCTGCCTCAGCCTCAGCCTCAGCCTGCCTCAGCCTCAGCCTCAGCCTGCTTCAGCCTCAGCCTCAGTCTGCCTTCAGGCCTCAGCCTCAGCCTGCCTCAGCCTCAGCCTGCATCAGCCTCAGCCTCAGCCTCAGCCTGCCTCAGGATCAGCCTGCCTCAGCCTCAGCCTCAGCCTGCCTCAGCCTCAGCCTCAGCCTGCTTCAGCCTCAGCCTCAGTCTGCCTTCAGCCTCGGCCTCAGCCTCAGCCTGCCTCAGCCTCAGCCTGCATCAGCCTCAGCCTCAGCCTCAGCCTGCCTCAGCATCAGCCTGCCTCAGCCTCAGCCTCAGCCTGCCTCAGCCTCAGCCTCAGCCTGCTTCAGCCTCAGCCTCAGCCTGCCTTCAGCCTCGGCCTCGGCCTCAGCCTGCCTCAGCCTCAGCCTGCATCAGCCTCAGCCTCAGCCTGCTTGAGCCTCAGCCTCAGTCTGCCTTCAGCCTCGGCCTCAGCCTGCCTCAGCCTCAGCCTGTCTCAGCCTCAGCATCAGCCTGCCTCAGCTTCCAGAATGTGGCCCGGGAATGGAGTTCTGGGAACTCCAAGAACACGAAGTGGCCTACAGTTGGGAAGACCACGAAGTGGCCTACAGTTGGCTCCGGGCATCTAAAATCATGCCCAGGAATGGAGTTCTGGGAACTCGAAGACCACGAAATGGCCTGCATTTGGCTCCGGGCATCTAAAATCATGCCCAGGAATGGAGTTCTGGGAACTCGAAGAACAGGAAGTGGCCTACAGTTGGCTCCGGGCATTCAAAATCATGCCCAGGAATGGAGTTCTGGGAACTCGAAGACCACGAAGTGCGTTACTGTTTGTTAAAAACGAATCCCCGGATTCCAGTCCGGATCCCGTCCGGATCCCGCCGAGACCCCCCTGGGGGGTCATGATGCTCTCTTTTGACCCTACTGGAAACCTATCAGTTAGGTAAAAAGATCCCCCATCTCTTCCCATACTTTCTGGGGTTTTGTCTTCCCCCCCACTTCCCATAGTTTCCCATATCTTCCTGGGAAATCGACGATTCATTGTGCCTGTGTGTTTTTTCCCCTCCTGAATACTGGCCGACTCTGGGCCACTGCGTCCAACCTCGACTGCCAACGCTGGGGTCGCCGCCCCGTCGCTGAGAGCCATCGCAGGTCGTCTGTGCTGCTGTGCTGGGACAAAAAGTGGCATAAACATAAAAACTCGGAGGTCCGCGCGGATTTCTCGCATCGGCGCTGGACCCCCTTCCCTGGCGCGCGGAGCGCGCCAGGGGCGGCGCCGGGGGGCCCCAGCGCCGATCCGAGAAATCCGCGCGGACCTCCGAGTTATCATGTTTATGCTACAGTTACAAACCTAATGAGGACGCGCGACTTTGATCAGGGTGCCCTTGCGTCCTGGCTCTTCCCTGCTCTTGCGGCTCGTCTTTGGCCTCTTTCGCCTCTTTCGCCTTGGCCTCTTTCGCCTCTTTCTTCCTTCGCTCTTTCGTCCTTGGCCTCTTTCGTCCTAATCCCAACTTCGGCTTCCAAGGGTCGTGCGTCCTCTCGCTCCCCTAGCATCGTCGTGGCTCGGTCGCTGCCCGAATCCTGGCCCTGTCCCGCGTCGGCGCCGCGGCTCCGGCGCTCCGACGTGCCCCCCGCGTGCCGGGGAGACGTATATATGACTCGGGCTCGGGGGACTCGGGTTGGCCCGACGGGGCCATCATGAACATGACGCGACCCACTCTGGAATTCGACGCGAACTCCCGCCGCACACATCCCTTGAAAACTGGACCGTTAAAATCCAGGGATCGCTCGCCAGGAACGCCGGCAAAACTCCGCGTTCCGGCGCACTCGAGTCTTACGTTTCCCCGAGTTTGCCTTGACCCCCGTGTCTGGATGGGGGGGAGGACTGGGATAGGGGGAGATGCAGCTACCTGGAATCGGCGACACATCGCCGATCGATCGGCGATCGGCCCCCGATAGCGAATCCGCACTTCCTGGGCAGGTTGGGGCGATCGGCCATCGGGCCCCCATCGGCGATCAGTGGGCGATTGGGGGTCGATGTATCCCCCCCTGTGCCTCCCCCTCCCTGCCGTTGCCCCCGACTGGAGTTGCTCAGGTCGGGCATGTCGCCCTCCAGGCGGACCTTGGACGAAAAACAGGAGCCACCCCAAAAAATACTCACGAACATAGCAGCAAAAACACTCCAAGAATGGCCCCGAGACTACTTTTTGACTATTCTTACATATTCCTCGTGTATCGGTGGTGGACAAACCTCCCTGTCATGAAAACGGCCTAGGACCGAAACCGACGGACCTGGACCCGCAAAAATGACGGCCGCGACGCCCCCTCGCGAACCGAAAACGGCTGATTCCTTGATCGACGTGTCAGGGTAGGAGGTCTGTCCACCTCCGAGTGTACAGTCGGGGCCCTGAAGAAGGAACCCTTTTCGTTGGGGAGGGGCTCCGTGTTCCCTAATTGTTTCGCAGCTTGCCCTGGATTTTCCTCAGGTTTTCGATGCGAAACCGAAGTCCCACTTATGGGAAATGGGGGCCTCGCTCCTCATCTAGGGCTCCTTAGGTCAACGCCTCGACTGTAAGGGGCCAGGCCCGACTTGAGCCTGGAGCCTCCCGAAGACGGCGCGGCCGCCTGCGGCGCGGCCGCCTGCGGCACGGCCGCCTGCGGCGCGGCCGCCTGCGGCCTCCTGGGCGGGGACTTGGGCACGGCGGCCGGTGCCCTCGCGGGGGGAGTGGCGCAGGGCGCCCGCTCCGCTCCGCTTTGCCGCCGCGGGAAGCCCGCCCTCGCCGCGCCCCCGTGCGATCCGCCCTCGCTCCGCTTCGTCCTCGCTTCGCTTCGTCCTCGCTTCGCTTCGTCCCGCGCCCTCCCTCGCGCTCCCTCCTCCTCTCTCTGTGTGCCTCGCCTCGTCCTGCTCAATTCTCTCTTCGTCCTGCTCGCTTCGTCCTCTGCCTGCGTCTCGTCCCTCTCCGTGTCGGCCGCCCCTCGAAGCGGACGGGCCGGAGCGGACGAGTCGAGCTGGACGGATCGATGTGGGCGAAAGGAAGTTTGGATCTGCGAGTCGGGGGCTCGCGGAGTGTGGCCCGAAGCACACGTGTGGCCCTTGGAGGGCCAGGGGACGCACCGAGTCAAGAAGGAAGGACTGCGAAGTTCGGGCAGATAGCAGGGCCCCGGCCGTAAAATGCCACCCTCCCCCCATGATTTTCACCATCACCCCCCTCTTGGCCGCCCCCGATCCCCCTCGCTCCACGCGCTGTCGTCACCATTTGTTATGTGCTCCTCCTCTTCCTCCTCCTCCTCCTCCTCCTCCACCTCCTCCTCCTCTTCCAAGCTCCTCCTCCTCCTCCTCTTCCTCCTCCTCCTCCTCCTCCCGCCGCCGCCGCCGCCGACGCCGCCGCTCGACTCGGCGAGATCCCCCACGCCCGCGCCAGCGTCGCGCGCGCCCGCGCTCGGGCGCTCGCCGCCGCGGCCGCGGGGGCCCGTCGACACCACCAGGTGACCTTGCTCTTCGCTTCGGCGGCACGGGGAGGAGGAGGAGGGGGGCCTCCTCCTCCCTCCTCCCTCCTCCTCCCTCCTCCTCCTCCTCCTCCTCCCTCCTCCTCTCCTCCTCCTCTCTCCTCCTCCTCTCTCTCCTCCTCCTCCCTCCTCCCTCCTCCCCCTCCTCCTCCCTCCTCCCTCCCCCTCCTCCCTCCTCCCTCCTCCCTCCTCCCTCCTCCTCCGTCCCAGAGCTTCGAGGATACATGTCCCCCCGCCATCCTGTGGTCCTGGGTCCTCGTTCTGAAGAGGCAGCGCCCCGCGCGCCTCCGCCTCCTGCTCCCTGCCGCAGCTCGAGCGTCCATTCTTCGTGCATCGTCCTCTCCGGGGGGGGGGAAACGTCGACCTGGCATGGGCGACGCGCTGCCGGACGCCGCCGAGGCATCGGCGGCAGGCCCCCGATAGCGATTGGAGCGGGGTGGGCCATCGAACGATTTGAGCGATCGTTGGGCGATTTGAGCGATTTGAGCGATAGCGATTTGAGCGATTTGGCTAGCGGGGTAGGCACCCGATAGCGATTTGAGCGATTTGAGCGATCGTTGGGCGATTGGGGGTCGATGCGCACCCCCCCCCCCGAACCTATCCCCCCCGCGGTCGCTGCCGCAGATCTGGGGCGCGCCTTCGTGCCCCGGGGGCGGAGCACGGCCCCTGGGGAAGCGGTCTGGGCCTCCGTGGCCGCCCCGCCCCTCCTCCTCCTCCTTCTCCTCCTTCTCCTACTTGTCCTCCTCCTCCTCCTCTTCCTCCGCCTCCTCCTCCTCCTCCTCCTCCTCCTCCTCCTCCTAAGCGGCCGTCGCCTCTCGGTGCCCTTGACATGTCCAGAGGATCTTGGCGAGCGGGGTGCGGCGCACATCGCACGCGCGCGCGCTCGAGGACATCGACGTGTTGCGCTTTCGCCTCAGAGCCGCGCAGATGTTCCCCAGAAGCTGCACTCCCGCTCGAGCGTCCTGCAACTGCCCTGCCTTAGGTCGGGCATGTCCTCCTACAGACGGAGTCTTGGCGAAACATAGACATAGTCAGAGCATCCCCCAAAATACGCACAAATCTTGAAAAAATCGTCCCCAGACTATTTTTGTTTGACTATTTTCGGGGATGGACAAAACCCCATTTAGTAAAACGTGGTTTAGTGAAAACGGCCTCGGGCCCAAACCTGGCGGGCGCTGGCCTGGAAAATGACGGCCGCGGCGCCCTCTCGAGCACCCAAAAGGGACAATTCACTAATCGAAGTGTCAGGGTGGGGGGTCTGTCCACCCCCGATATTCTTGAATTCCCATCCTGTGGAAAGACAAGTCCGACTCAGAGATTTGACCACCACACCGTCGGAGCCCAGAAGCCCGAGCTGTCGCTCTCGCTCCAGCGCGGCGGGCGGCGAGGGGCAGGCGGAGATCGATCTGTCGTCGTCGAAGCTGTCGTCGTCGTCGTCGTCGTCGTCGTCGTCGTCGTCGTCGTCGTCGTCGTCGTCGTAGCTGTCGTCGTCGTAGCTGTCGTCGTCGTCGTCCGTCGTCCGTCGTCGTCGTCGTCGTCGTCGTCGTCGTCGTCGTCGTCGTCGTCCGTCGTCGTCGTGGTGGTGGTGGTGGTGGTGGTGGTGGATCGAGAGGTCGCGGGGGGCGTGTGCGGAGAGGACCTGCAGGCAGAGGCCGTGCGGCGGAGGCCAGGCGAGCGCCACGGCCCGGGGGGTGGGGTGATGCGGGGACGACCCCTCTGGGCCCTCTTGGGGAGCTTTGGCCGTCCTGAGGCTCTCGGGGGCCTCTGGGGGGCGCTCTTGGAGCCCTCCGTCTCGGGGCCCTCCCGGGGCCCTCGCGGGGCCGTCGTCGCGGGGCCCTCTTTGGGGCCCTCGCGGGGGCCGTCTTTGGGGCCCTCTTTGCGGGGGCGGGAGGAGGAGGAGGAGGAGGGGAGGAGGAGGAGGAGGAGGAGGAGGAGGAGGAGGAGGAGGAGGAGGAGGAGGAGGAGGAGGAGGAGGAGGAGGAGGAGGAGGAGGAGGAGAGGCGCCGGCTGCGGTGCGGAGGGGTGGGGCGGCCCAGGGGCTGCGGTGCGGAGGCGAGGGGGCGAGGCCGGGGGGCGAGAGGGCCGCTGCGGGTGGTGGGGCTTCTGGAGGGGGTGAAATGTCAGAGTGGAAGGCTCACGGAGTGATGGGTGGAAGGAGGAGGAGGAGGAGGAGGAGGAGGAGGAGGAGGAGGGGCCGTCGCTGCAGCTCACCGCACCCACGGCCTCCGAGCTCCTGCCATGCATTGCCGCACCCTCTCGCCAACGGTGGTGTGCCTCTGTCGGTGGTGGCAGGCTTGTGGTGCCCACCTTTGGCTTTGCAAGGGCCCTGGGTGCCCCTCGTTGCCAACCCCGTCCAGTCCGCAGGGACTTCGCGCCCCCATGGATGGAGCTCTCGTGGGCGCGTGTGAGGTCGATCTTGCCAGCATGGCAGGACGTTTTTGCCCGCGCTCGGATTGCAACGCTGCCCTGTACCGTGCGCTGCCCCTGGGGCGTCAGCCGCAGAGGAACGAAAAGGCATAAGCGTAAACTGTCGGAGGTCCACGCGGATTTCTTAGTATCTGCGCTGACCCCACTCCCGTGCGCGCGGAGCGCGCCAGGGGCGGCGCCGGAGGCGCTTCCGGTGGGGCCCAAGGCCGATCCGAGAAATCCGCGCGGAGCTCGGTAAGTTTAGCCATGAGTATACCGTTGCTTCCTCTTCGAAACAAGCACTGGTGAGACGGTCCTGGCTGCAGGACGCACTGTGAATCGGTCGAGAGAGGACAGTCGGGTGTTGCTCGAGGTACCCCTGGCCCAGGGTGCCCCCAGCTCTGCGCTCCATGTTGCACCCCCTGGGGCCCTCTGGGCCTCGCGAGGGGTACTCTGGAGGCCGCTTGGGCCATCCCTGAGAGCCCCGGGGGCACCTTGGCCCTGACTGCCTACCAGACCACCCCAACCTAACCCGAAGACCCGAATTTCGGGTTGGGGGGGGTAAGGGTTCCACATGCGTTTTTTCGATGTTTCCCGACCCCCCCCCCACTGGAAATCGAGGGTAAATCTGAGCCTTCGGGTTGGGTTGGGGTGGTTTGGTGGGTGGTGAGGCCCGAGGGGGGCACTGCCAGCAGCACCCGAGACAGTCCTGGCTGCAGGACGCGCTGTCGGCCGGCCCAGCGGCGAGGCTCCCCTCGGCTCACACACCGAGCATCAGTGACGCGGTGAGCTCGGTGCTCTGTCGCGCTTTGCGCGCCAGCTGCGACCAATAGGGGGCAATGCGGGGTCTATCGCGCATGCTCCTCAGGACGCGAGCCGTCGGAACCATCGTGTCCGTGTCCAGTGTCTCCAGCATCCTCTGGCACAAGACTTCGGTAAAAATGCTCATCTGGTAGAAAGCCGCCTGTCCCCTTAACGGGGCCAAGAAGCAAGTCATCGGCAACAACTCTCGGCACCCCAATTCACCATGAGAAGCCAAGGCAAGTCTTAAACGACCTAGACATCTCGGAACCTCTCTGCTCTTCTCCAGTACATATACATATAGTTGATGTCTCTCTATATGTATATCTCTCTCTCTCTCTCTTTCTCGCCATTTATCTACCCTTCTCATCCCTCCGAAACACTGATGTAACCACTACGCAGGTTCGAAGGCGCGGATAGCATTGACCGAAAGCCTTCTGATCGGACAGCTTGGTCAGTGCAGGAAAGTGCACAGGGTCGCAAGTCACCTTGCCAGTATATGCAAAATTGAGCAGTGCCAATACCACCTCCATGTCAACGCTCTCCAGAGGAATGCGTTGAGTCTTGGCCTCCACCATCTCCCCGCACAGCATCTGCTTGAATACAGGCGAGGCTTGTGCCAACACTGCTCGATGGCACCTGACAGACCCGCCATGACACACCACCTCGCAATCTGTGAAGTCCTTTGCCTCCCACATTCCACTCAAGGCCTGCTGGCAATAGCCACGCTCCAGGATCGATGATGGGGCATAAACTCGCCGACCCCATTGGGATCACCAAGTGTGGGAGATACGTGCCTCTTCTCCTCCCCTGGGAAACAGACTTCATCATGGGGAATTGATACGGAAATGAAAGGTTGCGGAAACGGCTTAGGACGGGCAATCGGCTCTCGTTCGGAACTAACAATGCTGAACGGAATTCCGAATATCCAAAGACATTCAGAACTCGCTCGGAGACGATACCATACGGCGTCGCTATGGCGTTGCAGGTCCCAAGACTCCCCCACCTTCGGAGGTTCCAAATGGGGGCCAACGTATTCAACCTGAGAGCCGCAAACACCTGAACACAATAAACACATTGACTACACTTTCATTGAAAGAGCCAACGACATCCCAGAGACGGATCCAAGATGGTTCCAGACTGCCCCAAGGCGAATCACTACCGTATACAAGCTCACGCGGCAACATATAGGTAGGTTTCAAATCAACCATGCAAAAGCGTGCGCAATCTCCGACACCTCTTCTTGAACACTCCAAGATCACATCACCAAATGATCGTTGGCAAAGGAAAAGAGTGGCATCAGCCGGGCGAATCAATACACGTAAGTGCTTGGTGTAAGGCTTGAATCTGAGCCCATCCACCACTAACAGCCCCTGAGAACTGTTGAACTTGTCGCCAGGAGATCCGTTTGCCTGAGTGGTCTCGGCCAAAGCCGTGTAGTACGCACTGCCGCTTGACAGAACCAAGCAATGTGTGCCCCATGGGTACTTCGCAATCACATTATGGACGAGCCCCTCCGACCACTTGGCCACATTCCAGCCGTTCGGCAGCTCCAGGAACTCCGATTGGGTGCCAAGTACCACGTCGTCTGGCGAAGTTCTGTCGAGCGTCGAATAGAGGAGCCCCTCGTACGTGATGCAGTGTGAGCAGTGCGTGTCCGAGTCCGATGTATCCTTGATTGGCGTTGTCATCAGGGAGGCGCTGCCAGGGGTCCCGCGTCTGTGAGCCGAAACTGCCAGCAACTGGCAACCTGACGCGGCTGTGCCATGCTCGACCCCCCTTGCGTAGCCCATGCCAGGAGGCCATGCTGGTGCGTGCAGTCCAGGGAGTCTCATAATTAGACATGCCTCGTGAACCCCCGACCTTGAAGATTGCAACTGCTCGTCAAAGCCCCCCCCCAAGAGTAATGGAACTCGCGGGTGCTTCCCAAGGCTCCCCCCTGTGACTTCCCCGGGCGCTTCGGGAGCGTGCTTCCGAGTGCAAGCCCCCGGCGTGCCCCGAGATGGCCCCGATCCGCAGGCCCGTCCCCGAGCCCTCTTGGCTCTCTGGCCGTCTTGAAAGCCCAGGGGCTGGCCTGCGAGGCCAGCGTCATTGAAGGGCATGTTAGAATGGCTTCAAAATTGGCGCCCTCCAGTCTTGAGAGCATCCACGACGGCCCAAGAGGTCACCAATACGGCCTCAAGACATCCCAAGGACCCCCAACAGGTGCCCGAAACCAGCAGGTGCCCGAAAGGCCTCCACGCCAGTCCCAAGACGGGCCCAACAAGCGCGCTGTCACCAGAAATGTGGAAGCAGCAGCAGCAGCAGCAACAGCAGCAGCAGCAGCAGCAGGGCAACGCCGTGCACAGCACCAGCGACAGCAGAACCTTGCGCGGCCACGGCGACAGCCCTGAGGGTGGCTGGCACAGAAGGGTGCGGCCAAGGCGGCGGAGGAGCGGCAGCGGCAGCAGCAGCAGCAGCCGCAGCAGCAACTCCGACGGAACAGACCACCAGCAGAGGCAGCAGCGCGGCGCCCAGCGCCGCCCCAGCCCCGGCGTCGACCATCTGGGCTGCCAGAGGAGGACGAGGAGAAGACTGAGGAGTGAAGACAGGAAGGAAAGAGAGGAGGAGGAGGAGGAGGAGGAGGAGGAGGAGGAGGAGGAGGAGGGTGAGGAAGCAGGAGGAATCAGGAATGTCGGAAGCAGAGGAGGAGATGAAGGAGGAGGCGGAAGCAGGAATGTGAGAAGTTGAGGAGGAGGTTGAGGAGAGTGAGGAGAGTGAGGAGAACCAAGGAAGGGGCGGACGCAGGACTGTCAGCAGAAGAGGCGGAGGAGGAGGTGGAGGAGGAGGAAGAGGAAGTTCATTCTCACCCACGGCATCAACATGTCGCCCTCTGCCGTGACGGAGGGGGAGCAGGTCCTCGGGATCCTCGATGTGTTTTGATATCACACGGGGCCCTCCTCCTCCTCCTCCTCCTCCTCCTCCTCCTCCTCCTCCTCCTCCCCGCTCCTGCCTTGAGCCTCCTGGCCTGGAGGGGGGCCGGGGCGGGCCTGGACGGCGCGTCCTCGACGCGCGGCTTCTGCGCGGGCGGCTCGGCCTGCGCGGGCAGGGAGGCGCGGCTCCGCCGCCGCCGGGGCGGTCATCGTCGCCATAGCCTGAGCAGGGACCGGCCGTCCCGGCATTCCTATAGTCCTACCACGAGATGTTTTAGAACCCCCCAAGATGTTCTAAGAACAAAAACAATGTTCCTAGAACATAAACCCGATGCATTCAAACAAGACAGTCCCGGCCAGAAGTGTTCTAAGAACATTTCGTGGGAACCACAAAAGGTTCTTAGAACATTGTTTGGTATGGCTATAGGCGAGCCAGGACGCTTCGCCACTGCTTCCATAGCCGTGGTTGTCCTGGTCCTCGTTCGTCGTCGTACTGTTGGGTCGGGCATGTCCCCCCCTACAGGCGGATTTTGGACGAAAAATAAACAAATAGTTGAAACATATTGAAGAAGTACTCCAATAGTCAAAACATCGTCCCCGGACTATTCCTCAATCAGAGCGTGTCCCTGTAGGGGTCCTAGCGGATTCTTATGGTTAGGTGAGGTAGGCCGCCGATTTCGTTGGCCGGCCCGGGTACCCGGGTGCCCGGGGGTGCCCGGGTGCCGGGGTGCCCGGAGGTGCCCGGGGGTGCCAAGAGGTGCGCGGGGGTGCCCGGAGGTGTCTGGGGGTGCCCGGGTGCCCGGGTGCTCCATCGCCCTATAGCCGTATAGCCCTATAGCCCTATTGCCATAAAGCCCTCCTTTTCGCCGGTCTCATTTTCTATAACTATGAATTTTCCTCCTGTAGAAGGACACGCCCGACTTAATCGTACTGGCTCGCGTCGTCCACGTCGTCGTCCTCCTCCTGCTCCTGCAAGGGCAGGCCCCTTCTTCCCCGCTTCTCGCTCCTGCTCTGCCTTCCCCTTCCCTCCTCCTCCCCCTCACTTCTCGTTCCTCCTCCTGCCTCCTCCCCCCACCCCCTCGTCGTCGTCGTCGTCGTCGTCGTCGTCGTCGTCGTCGTCGTCGTCGAACTAGTTCTCGTCGTCAGTGTCGTGGAACTGGAACTCTACGAAGCAGGTCATGCCAACGCGAGCCCTGCCGACGGGCTCAGCACGCCTGGCACGGCAGTCGCCGCCTCGCTCCCTAGAAGTGCAGGGGGGCCGCCTTCCCAAACCTGAGCTTAGAGGAGAAAGAACTATGCACATGCACCGATTCTGGACAGGCCCATCCTGAGCCCAGGATCGGTGCTCACGCCCTCCTACCCTGGCCAGGAAGGCATATATGCACCGATCCTGGGTCAAGGATGGGCCCTGCCAGGATCGGTGCATGTGCACAGTTCTCTTCGCCCGATGAGTTGGGTGCCGAGGACCCCTCCTCTCCTGGGCCTCCACGGCTCTGAAGCGGGAGGGCGGGGGGCAGAGCAATCCGAAGACGACTTCGTGCCCCCCGGGGTCCTCCTGCGCCTCCTTCCCCTCCATGGGGCCGGTTCCTTCTCCTCCCCTCCTTTTTTTCCTGCTCTGCCCCTTCCCCTCCTTCCTTCCTCCTTTTCTCCTGCCTCCTGCCACCGCCCCCTCTCCTCCGCCCCCTCTCCTCTGGATGCGAGAGGGGGAGGAAGCAGGCGAAGCAGGACCGACCCCCTCCAAACCCGTAGCACCTCCAGGCTCCGCACGACCCCTCCTCCACCCCCCTCTCGACGCAGGAACAGTGGCGCAGAAACATTGGAGAGAACATCGCTGGCGCACATTTTGCGTGCTGGCAGCCGTCGAGCGCCGACCTTTGGCAGGCGCAATTCGGACAGCGCTGCGAGGATGAAGCAAGGTTGCGCAAGACATGCCGTGCATTCAGATTCGGCTGTGGACAAACCTCCTTTTAGTAAACCTCCCTTTAGTGAAAACGGCCTGGGACCGAAACCGACGGACCTGGACCCGCAAAATAACGGCCGCGACGCCCTCTCGCGAACCGAAAACGGCCAATTCCTCAATCGACGTGTCAGGGTAGGAGGTCTGTCCACCCCCGACAGATGCCATGAATTCGGACTTCCAGTGCAGCGGCCGAGAGATCGGACTCTAGCAGCCCGCTGGCGCGACCTGTGCCGCCTACTGCTGGGTGCAGACTGCCTGGCAGGCCCTGCCGTAGCAGGGAGTGTGTCGACCCCTATCCCAAGCTTCCGGGGGGGGTTCGAATGGACCAACAAATATGGGGCCAATCCCAGGGATGCGCGATGGGAGGGCATCCATCCTCGGTAGGGGTGGATCCGAATAGCCGCCTCGGGGTGTAGCACAAGGCTTCCCCCTCTTTTCCTGAGCGGCCAGAAACTTTTCGGCCGGAACCCGGGGATTGGATCGGGTCGGGCGAAAAGGGGGGATAGCAAAGGGGGGGTTTGAGAATCAGCTCACGTAGCTGATTTTCCCGGCGCCTCCCGGCGCCGGAGGCGGCGATGTATCGAGAAATGGGCCCCTTGGTGAGGCCGAAACCAGCTGCATGCAGCAGATTTCGTTACCCCCCCTTTCCCAATCCCCCCCTTTCGCCCCCGCCCGAAGAGACACCGCCTGCGATGCTGGAATTCGCAGGGGCGCAGCTGCGGAGCTTCGCCAGCTCGCCCACGGTGAACTCTGGACTGTCCAACGGGGGCGCCGGGGCCCACGCCTCGTGGCCACGGGGGCCCACGTGCTCGCAGCGGCGCCTGTGCCCCTGGGAGGCCTCGCCGCCCGCCTCCGAGCACCGCTGGACCGACCCCTGTCCCCCACTGTTGCAGGCCTAGAGATTGACACCAACACCAATTTCGGCGGTGTGCCTCCACCGAGGGAAGGAGATCCCGATCTCGGTGATGGTGGTAATATTCTGGCTTCCAAGGTGCCCGAACTATTACCACCAACACCGAAAATCTAGGAACACCTTCCCCCTGTGGAGGCAACCCCCTGTCCTGGTGTTGGTGCCCATTTCCAGGCCTCCGACACTGTCGGCTACACGCAAGAGTGACCCTGGGCAAGAGTGGCCTCTGGTGCGCGGCCTTTGGGGGGCCGCGGGGGGACCGCACTCGGGCGCGCCAGACGCTACGATCGCATCGCAATCGGTGATCGGGGAGCCCCATTCACTCTTACGTGTAGTTAGTCGACCCACTGGCAGGGCCTCGGCCCCCCCGGCCGACGTCTTCCCCACCCGGAGCGGGGAGCTGTGCCCGCTGCTTCGGGCTCCGGGGAGGCTGGGCCGAGAGGGCCATGGCCCCGCTGGAGTGGGGACGGGCTCCGGTCGGGCACGTCCCCCTGCAGGCCGATTCTGGGAGGGAAGGTGACGCGCAGTCCAGGCATGCTCCAAGGTAGCAAAACAAAACGGAAGCAAACCGTCCCTAGACTATTCTGGGGCTACAGGGCAGTTTTTAATACATAGGATGTTTGAACATATAGGATTTTGAATACATGATTAACTTAGGAATGAATTTATGCATGAACTCATCGTTGTTTTTAGTACTAGATCCCTGCTTTTGTAATACACGATCCGCACGCGGAGCATGTGTTAAAAAACGGGCACTGTCCCTTGGAACCTTCCTCCTGTGGAGGGAGACAGGCCCGACCTGAGAACGGGCCCAACGCTGCAGAGCCTCCGAGACCGAGCCCTCCTCGTCGGACTCGGGCGCCAGCGCGCTCGGCTGCCAGCCGCGCACCAACATCCGCCCGGCAGAGGCGCCCGGCCGCCGCCCGGCCCCCGCGGGGGCCGGAGCGCGCAGCTCCGGCGCCGGCGCCTGGGGCAGCTCCGGCTCCTGCGCCGGCAGCTCGCCCGAGGCGAGGGGCAGCGATGGGGGGGGGGGCAACGGCTCGAGGGGGGAAAGCGCCGATCGTGCGAGGTGCGATAGGCTCGAGGCTCTCGACGCGCTCGTCGGCGCTCGGCGGTGCTCCAGCCTCGGGATGCATTTTCCAGCAGCTGCGCCTCGCCGAGAGCGTTCCGGGGTCGCCCAAAAACCGCCCAGCACGGCCGATGGAAAGCCGTGCTATGGCCCAAAACCAGGAGCACCGGCTGAGGGAGGGATACGTCGACGAGAGATTGGCAAGTAAGCCCCCGATGCCGAACTTGCACGCTCCTCTGGGCGGGGTGGGCTATTATCGGGCCCCTGGCGATGAATGGGCAATTTCCCCCTGAACCTACTCCATCCCTGGCGGCTTTCCAGCCATCAGTCGGTCCAGAGTTTTGAAAGCCGCCGAGATCGGACGAAAACGCTTGGAATATAATAAGACGAAGAAGAGGAAAAAGAAGAGTAATAATAATAATAATAATAATAACAACAATAATAATAATAAAGGAGCAGGAGCATAATACTAAGAATAATAATAATAATAACAATGAGAAAAAACACGCAACAACAACCGCATAAATACTACCTTTTGGAGGTCCGCGCTGAATTCTTACATCTGCGCCGGACTCCCTTGCGGAGCGCGCCAGGGGCGGCGCTGGAGGCGCCGTCAAGAGGTTCCGCCGCAAATCCAAGAAATCCGTGCGGAGCTTCGGAAATTTATGCTCACGCCGTTTCTCTTCGACGAAGGCCTCGAACATCGAGCCAGTCCCCCCATGACGTTGCCCTCGAAACTCGAACCCCGAGCCACGGAACGAAGAGGGCCATACCAGTGCCATGAGCTGATGTCGGAGGCGCGCGTCCGACAAGAACATACGGCAGCGGTATGGCCAGAACACGCCCGCCACGGGGCTCATGCTGCAGAGGCTTCCGAGCGTGCGCATCGCCCTTGCAGGGCCGCCGTGCACATAGCACAGCGCCGACTCTGCAGAGGTGCTGCAGCGGACTTTGGCGCGGAGGTCTGCCACTGCACAGCCCCGAAACGGCGAGCGGAAAACGAAGGGAACTTCACGCGGATGTGCTGTAGTCTTTATTCCTGGCCACGGCGGTCACTTCTCGAAATCGGGAACGACTTTCTCCAGGACAACCTGGGCCCGTCCCATGGATTTCCGAGCAAAATCCGCTCTGCGACGTTGGCGCCATGACACAAGTATGTCTGACTGGTACCGAAGCCAATCTCGGTGACCTTCTGACCCGGGTCAATCCAGACCTGGGTCAGTCAAGCCTTGCAGGATCCTGCAAGATCCTGCAAGATCCTGCACCCAAACCCGGGTCAATGCGACCCTGGCCCTGCAGGATCCTGCAAGGTCGGGCGCTCTGATTGACCCCCGTTTGCACTGCCCCCCCGTCTCTTGAGCCCCGACAGTCCCCCCTACAGCATGTCTGAGTGGTGCCGAAGCCAGCCCTTGGCGGCGCGCACAAGGGGGTGGAGGGAGGGGTTGGGGGGCTTCTTAGAAGGAGGCTGCATCTTAGAAGGCGTTGGCCGAGGAGGAGGGAGGAGGAGGAGGAGGAGGAGGAGGAGGAGGAGGAGGAGGAGGAGGAGGAGGAGGAGGGAGGAGGAGGAGAAGGAGCAGGAGGAGGAGGAGGAGGAGGGAGTTACATCTGCAGATGAGGTCAGCGCCTTCTCATAAGCAGGGGTGCTTCCAAGAAGCCCTCCCCCCTCCCCCCCACCCCTCTCTGCGCGTGGCTGACAGTCCCCCCCTACCGTTATGTCGGGCCTGTCCCCTTACAGGGGGATTTTCGACGACAAATAAAAACAAAGATGCTCCCAAAATTATGAAAAAAATGTAAAAAAAAATGCCCAGGGAGTATCTTTTGAGTATTTGTGGGCCTTCCTTGGGGTATCTTTGGGGTATTTTTAATTGTTTCCTCGAAGATCCCCCCTGTAGGGGGACACGCACGACACAACCCTGCCGTTGCCCCGGACGCGGCCGCGCCGGAGCCGCCGCGGGCGCCAGCGGGCGGCCCGGCGTCCTCTGCGAGCTCGGCGGGCGCGTGGAGCATGGCGTGCATGTGCAGCCTCTGCTGGTCCAGCCTTGGGGCGGGCAACATTCCGGGGGACGTAGGACCTGGGTACAGGGGACTCGGAAATCCCCGACGAGGTCGTCAAAAGAATGACGAGGCCGAGCCGGCATTTTGACGAGGCCTCCCGCTGCAGACATCCCACGAAACTCCTCCTCGTCAAAATCCGAGGCGCGGTCGTCAAAAAACGATGGCGAACCCGAGTCCTGGCAAACCCGGGTCTTACGCTCCCCCGAAATATTTATATCCATATCCAGTGCGTCTTGGACTTTCTCGGAAGGGGCGCCGCAAGGCCGAGGCGCACTGGACATGGATAAAAAGTGAGCCTCTTGGAGGCAGGTTATAATCCATATCCGGTGCGCCTCATGTTTCTTGGGAAGAGAGTCCGGAACTCCAAGACGCACTGGATGTGGATATAGAGATTGCCCGCACTGGTGTGAACATTTTTTGATCTGCGGGTCGAGAGCGCACCTCTTCCGGTCGAAGCTGAGCGGGCCGCGCGAAGCTTGAATTAACCAGGGATGGGGGAGGAAAAGGGGGGGCGCAGCCTCAGAACGAGGCCGGGAGGAGGCAAAGCCTCGGGACCAGGCGGTGCCGAAGTCGACGTACTTGCAAGCCTTGGTATGAACATGCGATCCTGCCGACGAGGCTTCTGATGCTGCCAACGGGGCTCTGGAAATCAGGCCCCGGCGCTGCTCGGTCCTGCTGGTCCAGCCTTGGTGCGATAGAAGAAGAAAGAACGGCACAAACATACACTCTTGGCGCTCCGCGCGGATTTCTTGGATCTGCGCTGGAACCCCCTCCCTGGCGCGCGGAGCGGGCCAGGGGAGGCGCCAGAGGCGCCGCCAGGGGGGCCCCAGCGCGGATCCAAGAAATCCGCGCGGAGCGCTAAGAGTTTATGTTCATTGCGTTCTTTCTTCATCGATGTAAGGAGATCGCTTTTTGCTCGACGATAACCCGGGTAAACAAGCGCGCTTGACTATACTGGCAAGGCAACTACTCGCAAGTGGCCTAGATCCGCGACGGAGGATTTACAATCCATTACATCGAGAGCATGAGTTTTGTTCCGGACATTTGCCAGTGGGCACTTTGCGATTAGCCGGTTTTCGGTGAACGATACCCCCGGTTAGCCGGGGGGGGGGGGAAGGGAGGTGCAGGCCGATGACCGATGACCTGACCTTTTCGCTGCGTGGGGGGTGGAGGGAGGTGCCGGTTGATGACTGATGACCTGACCTTTTCGCTCCGACAACCCCACGTGCGCGGGCGCCCACCAGGACAGTCGGACCTAGGACAGGAGAACACCCCTCGAGAACACGAGACCCTCCGCTGGCCCACGCCGAAGAACACTCGAGGATGCCCTCCGCCAGGATGCACAGGAGCAGCCAGCCAACACGAAGAGCATCAGGGCACCCGCCCCGAACCGACCTCGAAGTTTCTAATTACCTCGGCCCGACCGTGCTGCACGCCCCCTCGGACCTGTTATCCGGGGGCGATAGTAGGGGGCCACATGCGAACCCTACCCCCACCCCCCACGATTTCTGAGGGGGAGGGTGGGGTTCACTCCGTTCGGGAGCTCCCGAGCGAAGTGAACCTCACCCTCCCCCATCAAAAACCGTGGGGGGTAGGGGTAGGGTTCGCATGTGGCCCCATAGACAGGTGGCGCGGGCGGGCCCGATAGCGCGGCACCTCCCTTGGACCCTCACAAAGCAGCCTCCAGGGAGGACGTGACAGCCACCGCGCTGCAGCCGGACCAGGGACAGAAGACCGCCCCTGAAGAACACGAGACCCTCCGCCGGCGGAAACACTCAGAACCTCCTAGAGGGTCACCTCCTCAAGATGCAGAAGAGCATCCGGCAAGCACGAATAACATTAGGATACCCTCCCCGAACCGACCTCGATCTTACCCCGCCCCTGCCCCAAGAGGCCCCCGAGAGCCCCCCAAGAGGCCCTGGGGGCCCCCAAGACGCCGCCAAGGAGCCCCAAGAGACTCCCAAGAGGTCCCCAAAAGGCCCCCAAGAGGCCCTAAAGAGGGCTCCAGGGCCGGCGGAATGAGCGAAGCGAAGCGGATGAGGATACCCTCCCCGAACCGACCTCGATCTTATACCTCGGCGCGACCGCACCGTGCACGCCGGTCGGAAGAAGTGGGCAGAACCAGGAAGTAGGGCAGGCGTGGGAAGTTGGAGGCAGGCTGGGCTTCCGCCCGCCCCCCCCCCAAAGAGGAGAGGTGAAGGGAACCAGTCGATCCTTGAAGCAGGAAGGCGCCCAAAAGCAGATTGGGATCTGGGATCTCCGAAAATACCCACTTTAGGTCGGGCGTGTCGCCCTTCAGGCGGATTTCGGCGGACGAGAAATCAGAAATAGTCCAAATAAATTAACACAAATGTTCAGAAAATCGTTAAACGACTACTTTTTGACTAGTTTTGAAGATTCCTCCTGTAGAGGACCGGCGTGTAAGGAAGGTCGACTACATAGGGAACGAGCGGGGCTTCTCTGGCCACGGCGAGCCCGAGCCGCGAAGGGGGGCCGCGCCACCTGGAGCTGAGAGGAGCGCCCGAGCAAACCGGGGCCTCTCCAGTGGTGGGCCGTTGTTTCACCTCCACCACTGCCATGGGCAGGAGAGGGAGGTGGAGGAAGGAGGAAGGGGGAAGGAGGAGGGAGGAGGGAGGAGAAGGAGGAGGAGGAGGAGGAGGAGGAGAAAGAGGAGGGAGGAGGAGGAGGACGAGGACGAGGAGGAGGACGAGGGAAAGGGGGAGGAGGAAGAGGGCGGAGGAGGAGGAGGAGGAGGAGGAGAGGAGGAGGAGGAGAGGAGGAGGAGGAGGAGGGGTGGAGGAGGAAGAGGGGGAGGAGGAGGGGGAGGAGGAAGAGGAAGACGGGGAGGAGGAGAGGAGGAGGAGGAGGAGGAGGAGGAGGAGGAGGAGGAGGAGGAGGAGGAGGAGGAGGAGGAGGAGGAGGGGAGGCGGAGGAGGAGGGGGAGGAGGAGGGGAGGAGGAAGAGGGGAAGGTGGAGGAGGAGGAGGAGAAAGAGGAGGGAGGAGGAGGAGGAGAAAGAGGAGGGAGGAGGAGGAGGAGGAGGAGGAGGAGGAGAAGGAGGAGGAGGAGGAGGAGGGGGAGGAGGAGGAGGAGGGGGAGGAGGAGGAGGGAGGAGGAGAAGGAGGAGGAGGAGGAAGAGGAAGACGGGGAGGAGGAGGAGGTGGAGGAGGAGGAGGAAGAGGGGAAGGTGGAGGAGGAGGAGGAGAAAGAGGAGGAGGAGGAGGAGGAGAAAAGAGGAGGAGAGGAGGAGGAGGAGGAGGAGGAGGAGGAGGAGAAGGAGGAGGAGGAGGGAGGAGGAGGAGGAGGAGGAGGGGGAGGAGGAGGAGGAGGAGGAGGAGGAGGAGAAGGAGGAGGAGGAGGAGGAGGAGGAGGAGGAGGAGGAGCAGAGGGAGGGGGGAGGAAGAGAGGGAGGAGGAAGAGGGGGAGGAGGAGGAGGAGAAGGAGGAGGAGAAAGAGGAGGAGGAAGAGGAGGAGGAAGCCCTCCCCATCCTCCCGTCTCCCCCGTCCTACCCATGGTAGTGGTGGTGGAACATGGGTCGATCATCCTGGACCCAAAAAGGTCCAATCTTCCCAGAGGCCCGCAACTCCGACAAAATGGGAGCGGCCGGACTTGGGCTGTTTTCGACGGGCCCTGGGACTGTAAAAAAACGGCTCGGGACGAAAAGCCGGTCCAGACCTCCGGGGGCCCACACATCGGACAAAGTGGAACGACGGATGTCTGGGCTGGTTGAAGGGGCACTGTGACACTCAAATAAATAGACACAAATAACCGGATTCCCATTTTTTTGTGTTATCTTGGTTTTTGTCTTCCCCCGCACTTTCTATATTTTTTCACCTTTTCCTGGGAATCGACGATTCATTGCGTCTGTGTGTTTTTTCCCCTCCTGACTGGTGAGAGGGGGCGTCGGGGGGGGACCAGCTCAGGAGCGGCAGCATCGAGCTGGAATCGGAGACACACCGCCGATGGAGCGGAGGGTTAGGCCCCCGACAGCGAAGCCCCACGCGGGGGGTGGGGCTGTCGGGCCCCTCTCTCGGGGGCGCGCAGACGTGGATGAGCGATCCGTGGATTTGGCGCGCGGTCGCCAAATCTATGGATCGGGGGAGGCGTCCCTCTTGGGGCCCTCATGGGCTGCGTTAAGGCGGTCTTCGGGGCTTCTTGGGCTGTGTTTGAACGTCGGAACAGCGAAGAAGCTGATTTGCGGAATACGTGCGCTTCTCAAGGAATGCGGAGAATTTGCCCTCTTGGGGGCATTTGGGTTGACCCATTTGGGTACACCAAAATCCATGGATCGGGGGAGGTGCCCTCCCCAAAACGCGGCCGGTGCCGCCTCGCTCGGCGGCGGAAGTCCGCGACGTCCCCTGGAAGCGGAGCCCGCCGCTAATCCACGCCCCCTTGGCCCGTGTGCTGCGATCGCCCGACTACCGGAGATCGGTGGGCGATCGGGGGTCGGTGCATCGCCCCCCCGAGCAGATCAGGAGGGGAAAAAACACACAGACACAATTAATCGGCGATTCCCAGGAAAATGTGGAAACATATGGACAGTGGGGGGAAGACAGAAACCCAGAAAATATAAGAAAATATGGGGCATCTTTTTATTTGTTATTTATTTGTGTGTCCCAGGGCCCCTTCAGCAGACTCCCCCCCCTTGAGCAGGGACCGGCCGTCCCGGCATTTCTATAGGCCTACCACGAAACGTTCTCAGGACCCCAAACATGTTCTAAGAACAGCAGCAAGGATCGTAGAACAGAAGCCCAAGGTGTGGAAACAGGACAGTCCCAGCCAGACATGCTCTGAGAACCTCTCGTGGAAACCACAGCAAGGTTCTCAGAACATTCACTATTTGGTGGGCCCATATAGGCGATGCCTAGGCTCCTGACATAGGCGAGCAAATCCCCCCCCTGACGCTGCCACAGACCCGGCAGGGGCGAGAGGCCTCCCCAAGGGCCGGAAAGCGGGCGGGAGAGGCCTCCCAGCCAGACATGTTCTAAGGACCTCCCGTGGAAACCACAGAAAGGTTCTCAGAACATTCTTTGGTGGGCCCAGAGGCGAGCAAATCCCCCCCCTGACGCCGCCGCAGACCTGGCCGGGGCGAGAGGTCTCCCCAAGGGCCGGGAGGCGGGCGGGAGAGGCCTCCCCTCTGCCACATCCCTGCCTCCCACGCGCCCCGGCTTCCTCGGGCGCACGCCAGCACCAGGTCGCGCATGTCCCCGTGCAGCCTACAGTCGGGGCGTTGACCTAAGGAACCCTAAATAAGGAACGAGGCCCCTCTTTCCCATAAGTTAACCTTCGATTCCCGATCGAAAACATGAGGAAAACCTGAGGCAAGCTGTGAAACACTCAAGGAACGCGGAGCCCCTCCCCAACGAAAAAGGTTCCTTCTTCAAGGCCCCGACTGTAGGTCGTGCATGTCCCCGTGCAGCCTACAGGCGGATGTTGGACGACAAAAAAAAACATTCCCGAAATATTAGAGAATAGCCAAACAAAACTCCGAAAATCGTCCCCAGGGTTTTTTTCACAACTCTTGAATATTCCTCCTGTATGGGGTGCATGCCCGAACTGACGCTGGCCATCGCTCGGACGTCCATTTCCTGTGTTTTTTTCTGGTTTCGTGCGAGGTTTCTTCGCCAAATGATCAAGGAGGATTCTCGAGGATCCTCGCCGACAGAAAGATGCACACGTCCGAGCGACGCCAAGGACGCTACTAGGGCTCCCAACTTCGCGCTTCGCGCTCCGCGAAGCGCGAAGCGCGAATGACTTCGCGCTCTCGCGCCGCTCCCCGAAAGGGAGAAAAGGAGGACAAGGAGGAGGGGGCGAAGGAACGAGGACCGCGAAGCGCGAAGCGCGAATAACTTCGCGCCCTCGAGGGCGCCCTTGACGCTGGCACGGCTTGTGGAGATCCGTGGATCTGGCGTTCCCACACCGTGAGGCCAGTGCCGCCCGACCCGGCGACGAGAAGCGCGCCGCCTCCGTGCGAAAAGCGGGGGATTCGCCGCGGATCCGCGCGCCGCGGTGCACATCTGTGAAGGGGCCCTGGGACACACGAATAAATACGCACAAAGAAAAGGATCCCCCATATTTTCTGGGGTTCTGCTTTCCCGCCCAACTCCCATAGTTTCCCATGTTTTCTGGGAATCGCCGATGAATTGTGTCTGTGTTTTTTCCCCTCCTGACTCTGGCCCTGGACTGCCGTCACAGCCGCCCCCGTGCTCCCCCTCGGCCACCCCCCCCTTTCTCCTACAGGCAGCGCATGGTGCGCGGGACACGCGGCAGGACACCAGGACAACGTGGCCTCCAAGACCACAGGACGCAGGGATGCCTTGCCCCCTGGGCTGCAGAGGACACGACGCGCGATGCACGGGACACGAGGGTGCCCTTGATCTGGCAGGGTCGACCTGCTGATCCGGGCCGCCAGCAGCCAAGTGGTGCACGCATCCCCCCCCCCACCCCCGAGGCTCGTGAGCCGGGCCTCTCCGGGGCCTCCAGGATGCCCCAGGTGGCGCCCAAGGCGGCCCAGGCACTCCTCCACCTCCTCCTCCTCCTCCTCCTCCTCCTCCTCCTCCTCCAGGATGCCCAAGGTGGCGTCCAAGGCGGCCCAGGCACGCCAACGAGGCCGACAAGATGCCACAAGATGCCGTCTGGCCCCAAGACGGTCGAATGTGGCCTGAAAACTCAAGAGGCCCCCCCCACCGCGGTCCAAAAGAGGGCTCCAAGAGGAGCTCCAGGAGGGTCCAACGACGTCAGAGACGTGTGCCTCCGTCGACGTTTGAATGACTTGACGTTCTCGCCTATTCGGGCTGCTTCCGTCAGCCCAAAGCGGCACAAAGGGTCTCCAAGACAAGATGGCCCCAAGACCTCCCAAGAACCCCGAGACAGCCCAAGAGGCTCCCCGGACGGCCGCAAGACGGCCTAACAGACTCCCAAGGCGACCTTTCAAAACCCCAGGAAAGCACCACGACGGCCCAGGCCCCCCCCCCCCCAAAGATAGACTCGGGAGGCGACAGACTGCCCAATAGCACCCCCAGTAGCCTCCAGTGGGCCTCGAAGAGGTCCCCAAAGGGGCCCTGAGAGAAAAGGGGAAAAGAGGCAAAGAGCAATACGGCGACGAATCCGAGCAGACACCCCGACACGACGCTGAAGAGCGTGTCACACATTACGGCTCCCCCAAGTCTCGGGTCACGAGGTGTCACACGTTACGGCTTCCCAGGCGTTCCTCAAAGGGTCGCAAGCCAGAGTGCTGGGCTGTCACGGTGGCGGACTTTGCCGCATGCAGCTAGACACGATCCCCCGTTTGGGCGGTGCGTCACTTCTACAAGTATGAGGTCGTGACCCCATAAGCTGCTGGTGAGGCAACGATCGGTTCTCCATCTCCTCGGCCGTTTATACGGTCATCTTGCAAGGAACGCCGAACACATGGGCTCATCTGGCCGCGCCGATCCTCGGCAACGAACAAGCTCCCCGACACCGACATGGATTTAAGGAATGGCCCCGAAACCATAGCCCACAGTGATCCCTATCCACGCGTCTTGGCTGTACGACAAGGCCAGGTGGAACAGCTCTCGGGGAAGCGCCATGCAATTCCTACGATTCCAGCGCCCTGAACCCCGCCGCCTCTGGGTCAGCTCCCGCAACTCGCTTCTGACCTCCAGCTTGCTCGGCTCCTGCCGTGACGCCGCCTCTCCGCGCCTGCGAGGAGGCAGGATGCTATGCAAGCGCAGTACAATCGGACTTGATTGGACAGGACACGCGAGAGGACACAAGACCCTTCCGCGGTCCACATTGCTAGTGGAATTTTAGGAGACATGGGTCGCAAGACACAGGACACGAGGGTACCCTTGATCTGGCAGGGTGGACCTACTAATCCGGGCCGCCTGTAAGCAAGGAGTCGGCCTGCCAGTGGGTGCCCCACGGAACCATCTTGCCCCCCTCTGGTGGCCCTCGGGGGCCCACAGAAGCCCCGGGGCACCTCCAGGCCCCAAGAGCTCGACGAGTCACGTGCCCCAGGATTCCTTCTGCTACAAGCTTCAAAACCGTATGCCCCTGCGGTATTCGGGGATGGACAGCACCCCCTTTAGCAAAGCGTGGTTTAGTGAGTGAACACGACCTCGGGCCCAAACCTGGCGGGCGCAGGCCTGGAAAACGACGGCCGCGTCGCCCTCTTGAGAACCGAAGACGGACAATTCACTGATCGACGTGTCAGGGTGGAGCTTCTGTCCACCCCCGATTTATGGAGGGGTGGGATGTGCACAGCAGGCAGCGGGCAACGAGAGGGAGTAGAAGATTCCAGGGTCCCTTGAGGACGACCTCGAGCTCGGAGACCCGGAGGAAGCCAACCGGCGCGGACCGACCCCGAGAGCACCACACGGAGAGGCAGGGGACGTCGAGATCTGTTCCCTGTACTACTCTCTCTGCTCGGCCCCCTGCTCTGCAACGGCGCTGGCAATGCTTGGAGCTTCCTTGCGGGGGCGGGAACGGGAGTTGGGGAGGGAGGGAGGCGAGGGCTTGGGAGGGAGGCGGGCGGGGCGAAGCGACGCGAAGGCGAATCGGGCACACAGGTGTGCACACGCCCATCCGGGCAGGACGCATAAGGCCGTGGCCTCACATCGCGTGCGACTAGACGCCGTGGGCGAAACACTTCCAGACGAGCGCGTCCCACTACTCGTAAAGTAGCAACTCGCCAATGGCCTGGATACGCCGCGGGGGATGTACGATAAATTATACCGAAGCCGACATATGTTTTTTTTTTCTGACGTTTGCGAGTAGGCAGTTTGCGAATAGTGGAACGCGCTCGGGGAACTCCAGGAACCGGCGCACGACGGGGGCGGGCAGGGAGGCTCTCCCGAGGGCCGCTGGGCCCGAGAGCATCCAGGCAGACACCCGCTGTCGCCCGCCGCCCTCGCCGAGGCCGTCGACTCTCTCGACGTGGCCCCAGGCTCTGGCTGCCAGGCTTGAGACGCCGCCGCGGCATGAGCGTAAGTGGTGCGCGTCCGGAACGGGACGCCAGCGACATGCGGTGGGCCTGTTTTCCACCACCGCCACCATGAGCAGGAGGGGGAGGGGGTCCCCCCCTCCTCCTCCTCCTCCTCCTCCTCCTCCTCCTCCTCCTCCTCTGCCTCCTCCTCCTCCTCCTCCTCCTCCTCCTCCCTCCCCCCTCCAACTTCCCCATCCAGGCTCACCAGGCCATCTTGACTTCCCCACATCCCTGCTGAGCCTTCAGCTTACTTTGGTCGGGACCGGGGGTGGGATTGGTATGTGGGCGGGCACTGGCCGCAGGTCGAGCGTGCGAAAGTCGTGCACTCCCGCTGGCCCCTGCCTCGCACCCGCCCCCCACTCAGCTGCCTTTTCGTCAGCCTCTTTTGCCTCTTGGTGCTTCTATTTGCGCTCGATCTCTAGCTGCCGCCCCAGGTCGAGAGGTTTCGGGCGCCGTACCAGGTACGGCGAACCTCCTTCGGGGCGGTCAGACACGCGTGCAGGCCCTGCCCGCGCATCGGACAAGCCAGGCAGTTTCACCTTCCCCACTTCCCCTGGGTATAAGTTTGTTGGCGGGGACGTAGTTCGCACTGCGGCGATGAGGTAGCCATGGGACACAGGTCGAGCGTGCGAAAATCGTGCACTCCCGCTGGCCCTTGCATCGCACACGCCCACTTAGCTGCCCTTTCGGCCTGTTGCAGGCTATCTCACCTGCCCCCCTCTTTGATCAGCCTCATCTTGCCATTTCCCTACTCCTGTTGCGTTGCAATGCGCCTTGAGCGCCTTCCGACGATATGGGGGGGGTACCGGTTCGGTGACGGGGGCAGGGAGATTCACCAAACCTTAGCGCCCGTGCTGCTAGATACCGCGTGCTTCTGCCAGCAGCTGGTGGCTGCCGAACCGAGTTCACCGTCTCCTCGGCGAATCGGAGCGCACTCCAAATCCTCCACCTCATGGTGGTGGCGGTGGTGGAAAACGGGCCCATCGAAATGGACTCTCGGGTCGGGCGAAAGGGGGGGATAGCAAAGGGGGGGTTTGAGAATCAGCTCACGTAGCTGATTCTCCCGGCGCCTCCCGGCGCCGGAGGCGGAGGCGGCTATGTATCGAGGAATGGGCCCCTCGGTGAGGCCGAAACCAGCTGCATGCAGCAAATTTCGTACCCCCCCCTTTCCCATCCCCCCCTTTTCGCCCGGCCCGAGACTCCTGAGCCCGTGGCGAACTTCGCTTCGCAGCGCGAGGGGGAGCGCCCTCCCCTCCGACGCCCTGCCGGGCGGGCCCTGGAGCACTCGGCGCTCGCCCGTCTCGGGCGCCCCGTTCTCTTAGGGTCTCGCCCAGGCCCGCGCAGACAAACTCTCCTGCTCCTCCTCCTCCTCCTCCTCCTCCTCCTCCTCCTCCCTCCTCCTCCTCCTCCTCCTCTCCTCTCCCCCTCCTCCTCCTCTCCTCTCCTCTCCTCCTCCTCCTCCTCCTCCTCCTCCTCCTCCTGATGTCTTCGGTCGGCGCTGGGCACCCTGCCCCAGCGCGCGGAGCGCGCCCGCGGCGTCGCCGGAGGCGCCCGGCCAGGGTGCGGGGCGAGGGCGGGCCCCGGCCCGAGGGGTGCGCACGGGCCTCCGAGGTGTAGTGTGCGTGTGCGTGTGCGTGTGTGTGTGTGTGTGTGCGCGCGCGCGTGCGTGTGTGTGTGTGTGTGTGTGTGTGTGTGTGTGTGTGTGAATGTGTGAATGTGGTTGTGTGTGTGGGTGTGAGAGAGAGAGCTCTTGGTCTTCTTGGCTCGTCCATGAGCAAGTGCCTACACGACGAGGCCAAGGGACACGCATATACATACCACACACACACACACATTTCAGGATTCCCCATATTGTATCAGATGTTCTGGATTTGTCTTCCCCACACTTCCTATATTTCCATACCTTCCGGGGGATCGACGATTATTGGTTTCTGTTTTTTTGTTCCCTGAGTCTTGTAAGGTCTTCCATCAGAAGATGCCTGCAGTCGGCTCGGGCCAAGCCTCCCGTTGGGAAGAGGGCCTGGGCTGGTGAGCAGGGTAGATGCTATAGACTTGCTTGCTCGGGAGGGCTGAGGCTCACCTGCTAGTTCACTTCTGGCCTCCCGAGAAAATTTGGCCCAAACAGCCCCAACTTATCCCACCCCGTACGCTCATCACCATCCTCACCCGCATCCTCATCGTCTCCACCCACAACCTCATCTTCACACCCGTCATTCCCACCCTCATGCCATTGATGTCCTTCGATGGCTACTGGGTTGTTCTTGGACCCCCCCCTGCCCCTCAAAACAGATCTTTCCCAACAATACGCTCTGACCAGAAGCCTGGGCGAATCCGGGCGTGGCGACGAGGGAAGGACAGCGGCAATAGTATATGATCCTCTTTCTGCGACAGCGCATCGGAGCCTCCCGTGCCATCTTGCTAGCTCTCGCGAACCGACGCTGACCGACGCCAACCGTCGCTAATCGACGCCAATCGACGCTGATCGAACCTCGATGTTCGCTTCCCCATCGATCACGGGACGCTACCGCACGCGAGCGCGCTCTAGAGACGGAATAAAGGCTCCCATGTTTTTGCTGACGACTCCTCCTCTGATGATCCTCGACCCTCGATCCTCCTCGACGACTGCGACTGGACCTCGAGTGCCGGGCGTGGAAGAAAAACCTACATAACTTTACACTTTGGAAGCTCCACGCGGATTTCTTGGAATCCCCGCAGGGCCCCCCTGGCGGCGCCCGAGGCGCCGCCCCCCGCGCGCTCCGTGCGGCAAGGGTGCGGGCCCAGTGCAGATCCAGGAAGTTCCCGCGGAGCTTCAAACATTTACGCGTATGCCTTCTTCTCTATTTTTCAGAGCGGCCATCGGGCAGCTGGCCTCTGGTGCGTCACGCGTCCGTCGGCTGGCGAGCTCTCCGCGTGGAGGGCCTCTCCGAGCGGCTCGTGCTCCGCCGCGCGCAGGCCCCGCTGCGCCTTGTACCGCTCGAGGGCCTGGCCGATGCTCGGCCCCGCCTCCTCGGCTGGGGCAGCAGCGCGTACAGGTACAGTCGGGGCCCTGAAGAAGGAACCCTTTTGGTTGGGGAGGGGCTCCGCGTTCCTTAAGTTTTTCACAGCTTGCCTCAGGTCTTCCTCATGTTTTCGATGGGATATCGAAATTTAACTTTTGGAAAAAAGGGGCCTCGTTCCTTATTCAGGGTTCCTTAGGTCAACGCCCCGACTGTAGGAGGCAACTTCTTGGAGGTCTTCGTAAGGACGAATGAAGGCCATGGAACCAAACTCAAAAGCCGTTGAGCCACATCAGCCCAAACAAATCCAGAGATCGAGCCGGAGCAGGCAGAACTCAGCGGGATGATGCCAGAGACGCCAACCAAAGGCAACACATTCACATCAACTGCACACAAGCACCAGCCGCATAGAACTCTTAGTTGCCAAGCACAGGAATCACGAAGAAACACCATTGATATTTATCAGCCGCAGCCACTAAAATCATACACCAAGATCGCGCATCAATATCAGGCATCAAGGCAAGCCTCAACAACCACACATTCCGATCATACACCAGTATGCACATCAATGCAGCATGCGATACTAACAGAGGTCAATTACAAGCAGAACTGCCACACACAAGGAAGCAAACATACATCAACGGCAACCGCCAACGATATACATAGTCGGCATGGCAAGCGTGCAATACTGACATGCGTAAGCAACAAGATTGCATACACGATTATCACATGCAGCAGACGATCACAATTGCTACACACGAAACACCATGCGTATACACCAAGCATACAGAGCCTGCGCAATGACAAAACACTCTGTAGAGTCACACGCGTTTTCGAAAGCACTCCCGGCAGCTCCCTCTTGGGGATCGCTCCCAAAATCAATAGTTCCCCCTCAGTAGTTGTCCGACGGCCCTGGGTCTCGGGGAGGGCCCCTTCTCTTCATGTCGACCCTCGATGGAGACCTCTCCAGGGGTGCGGTCCGCCAAGAGTCTCGAGGATAACCCTGCCGTGGCGACGAGAAGCCTCCCAGAGGCCCCGAAGAGGAACCTCAGCAATTCAAGCAACCAGATCGGCGCGCACAGGGAGGTAGGGGGAGGGGGGAACGCTTCTTAGAAGCACCCTGCTTCTAAGAAGGCCTCGGCCTTACGCCTATAGAGAAGGCCAGCGCCGTCTAAGCAGGGGTGCTTCTAAGAGGCCTTCCCCCCTCCCCCTACAGTCGGGGCCGATTGGAGAGGACACGCGGGAGGACACAAGACCCTTCCGAGGACCACATTGCCATAGGAATGTAGAAGGCATGAGTCGCCAAACACAGGACGCAAGAGCACCCTTGATTTGGCAGCGTCGACCCACCAATCCGCCTGGACTGAAACCTCCTCTGCGCCAATCCAGGACGAGAATGACGTCATGACGCGATTAGTTCCGGGCACGTTCCATGATCCCCAGAGTATCCGGCGGCCCTCGCCTCTGGAGCCCCCCCCGTGCGGGGTAGTATGGAACCCTGGGAATCCTGGAGCGCATCATTACCTGGGGGTCCGCGCAAAAATGGATTAGCGATCCATGGATTTGGCGCGCGGTCGCCAAATCCATGGATCGGGGGACGCGCCCCTCTTGGGGCCCTCATGGGCTGCGTTACAGCTGTCTTCGGGGCTTCTTGGGCTTTTCACGAACGTCAGAAAAGCGAAAAAGCTGTTTTGCGGAAAACGTGTACTTCTCTAAAGGAATGTGAAGATGTTGTCCTCTTCGGGCCATTTTGGTAAATCTGTTGGAGGCTTTTGAAGCGCTCTTAGGTCACTTCGGGGCCATCTTCAGAGTCTTTGGGTGATGTTTCGGTGACCCTGGGCTCCATTGGACCGTCTTGGAGACCTCTATGGACGTTTTCAGCACGTTTCGGGACTGCCTTGGGCCGTCTGAGAGCCTTCCTGGAGGCCCTGTCCCACCATGACTCCCCGTGGTCCACGGGCCAAGCCAAGGGGCCTCGCACCACGGAGTACACACACAAACACACACACACACATATATATATACACATACATACATACATACATACATATACATACACGCAAACAACATATACATATGTATACATCGGTATGTAGGTATGTAAGTATGTATGAAAAATATGCGTGTATGCATATTAACATATGTATACATACAACTATTGGTATACGTGTATATATATATATAGGTGTGTTATTTGGACTCGGCTTGACCGCAAAAGCCGCCTCCCCGCACATCTCTTCAGTCCCTGCCGACGGAGCCTCACTCAACGCAGATACCTGTAGCACACACTACGTCTGAAAATTGGGATTCCGAGCTGAGAGAGATCGCCTGTCCCCTGCAGAGCGGCGAACACAGCAAGTGCTAGCCGAAGCCCCGACACTTCGGCGGAAAATGAATCTGTTGCCTGGGGTTCCCACGCCCCCCCGAAAGCCGCGACCTCCCAGTCGCCGCCCCCCTGGGAGACCCGGAGAATGAAACCGCCCGCGCTCCGCCCGCACCCGCGCCACCCCCCGTCCGAATGGGCCAAACAATTGTGAGGCGCAGCTAACAACTCATCAATGCGAGGGTGGAGACATAAGAAACCTCGGCCTGCATCTAAAACTGCATTACACAAACGATCAGCCTCTTGATTCTGGTGGCGGGGCCGCCACAAAACGAGAGTTTCGATCGGATCCGGAGGTCTCCACCCATCGGTCACGCTCTGGAGCAAACAGTCAGCTAGAGGCGGAAGTTGTGAGAGCCGTTCCCATTGGACGAACGACGAGCCACTGAGGGTTTGCGCTAAAGCTTCGTTATCGACCACAAATCTGAAAAATTAGTGGAGGAGGAAAGATCGGGCCAGGACGAATCGGAGGAAAGGACGGGAGGAATGATATCAAAGAACATGCGGCCCTCAGAAACGAAGAAAGTGTCATCCCCGAAGTCCCAATCGCCGGTGCCCGCCCCTCCCGTCGTAACGCCTGCTCGCTGCTCCGTGTCGTCGCGAAGAAGCCGTCGTCGTTTGCAATGTCGCCCTGCCTCCACCTTCCCCTCCTCCGCCTCCCCCTCGTCCTCCGACTGCTTGCGTTTAGCGCGGGTCCCCCGTGGATCGCCCCGGCGAGCCGCAGCAAGTTTACGAACCTGGTCACGATGGACGGACATATCTCTATTCCAACCAGGCAGGTGCCATTTGACGCAGATGCGATCGATGAAGGACCACTCCTGGTTCTTCCACTTCCCGGCGCCATTCATCACCTTGATTTCCCAATCAGGGATGGCTGCGTCCAAGAAGTCCTCTGGCTGCGGTGCAGCGGGGCCTGGCCGTCGATACCGCCACTCCCCTGTGCCATCGCGGCGCAGACTGGGGGTCCAGGAAGCGCACGCCTGTGCCGTAACCCTGTGGTCACCTCTACGGTATAGAGACAGCTGGCGAATGGGGAACTCTGGTGTGCCAGACTTGTCGGAACCCCAACTCCAATGCATGGACGCATACCTCCATCGATGAAGACGCTGGAGCCATTTATGGTGAACTTGAGGTATTGCCCAGAATGCAAAGCGGCCTTCGAGAAGACGCGCTGTGCGGTAGTTGTAGCCTTGCAGGCCCTCCCCTGGCAGGGACTTCAATTTCAAAGCCCGTCGTAGATGGTTGTCTTCCCAGGCACGCGCCTTCTGCAGACGGTCTTGCGTGGGTACCCAAGACGCGCAATCGTAGAGCAATGAGGTGGTGGGCCCTCTCGAAAATGCCCGGACTTTCCCTTCCCAACTGGCGCTGGGATTATGAAGGCGTCGATGGATTTTTCCAACGTTCCCCTCCGCCTTCAGAAATCGATGATCCCAGGAAACCACTGTATCCCCCGCCCTGGTCAGCATGGTGCCGAGTAGGACGGCTTCGTCCACAACTGGCAAGTGAAGAACTCCCTGTCCGTGCGTCGGTACTTCCACGACGGGCGGCTGCTGATCGACTCCCATCCCGCAGAGCACTACACTTTCCTTCATCTTGATGCGGAAGCCGTTCCTGTGCAGAGCGCTGGCCGTGTCGGAAATCATCGTTTGGAGCTGATCCGTAGTCCTTGCACACAATATCAAATTGTCCGCCCATACTAGCAAATTCAAGCAGAGGTCGTCGATGGAAGCCCCCAGGCCGGTCGCCTCCCACTGCCTGACAACGGGGCCGAATATGTAAGTCAGAAGGCAATTGAAGAGCATGGGTGTCTCGACTCCCCCCTGTCTCCCGCCTTTGAGATAGGGGAACCTGCCACTAGCCCCGACACCTGATATGTACATGTCGCCTTCGAGACCTGATAGCTCCCTCAAGATTGCCACCACCAGGGACGCTGGAATGCTCAGTGATAGCAATGCATCTGAGACCAACTGATGCAACATATTGTCGAACGCGAACTCAATGTCCAGGAGCGCGAAAACATACGGGTGTTTCTTGAACTTGTTAGAGATGGCCAAAACCCTCCTGACGATGTCCACCAGGTGCAACGTGGAAACCCCTGGAGTAAATATCCTGACTCTGGTTTGCTGCGTGAAGCGTCGAATCGCGTACCCCACAGATTTTAAATACCATTTCTGCATATTCGGGGACTTGGCAACGTACCTCCAGTCGGAAAAAGTTTGGGGCCTAAGCTGCTTGGGCAACCCAGTGAGGTCTATGAGCTTCCAGAACTCCCCGTGGCCCTTCCCCGTGACGAAATAGCTGGTGAACTTAATGAACAACTCTACGACGACAAGGAAAGGCAACATCTTAAGCATTTCGCCCACAACCCCGTCCCTGGCAGGCGCTGTGCCGATGGACATGGCACCCCGGGCGGCGAGGAATTCCATGAAGGTGAGACGACTGGGCCCACAACGACGTCTGATGTGGTTATCCTGAGCTTCGTTGATTGCAGTCGCCTCTAAACGCATCGTTCGTAAGTCCTGAGCTGCGTCGCCATTGCCAGCATCGCAATAGCGGTCAGCACCGAAATGACGTAGCAAATCTGGCCAACGGGAATGGTCTGCGCAGAAGTCTCCAAATGAGGGCTG